AAAAGCAATTCTGGGCAACAAAGGCAAGGCAGGGGGCATCACATTCTCTGACCTGAAATTATACTACAAAACTACTGTGATAAAATCAGCATGGTATTGGCCAAAAAAAACCAACAACAACAACAAAAAAAACAGGCCTGAGGATCAGTGGAACAGAATATAAGATGTAGACACAATTTCAGACACACTCAGCCACCTTATCTTTGACAAAGAGGCCAAACACAGTCACTGGAAGAAAGATAGTGTCTTTAATAAAGAGTGCTAGAAAAACAGCTTTTCCACAGTCCTAAGACTAAAACTAGCCATATCTATTATCACGCAGTGAACTAAAGTCAAAATGGACCTAAATATTAGAACAGAAACACTAAATTTGCTGGAAGAGAAAATAGGCAGAAATCTCGAAGACATAGGTATAAGGCAGAAAATTCATGAACAAAACCCAGAGTGCAAGGGAACTCTTACAAAGAATCAACAAATGGGATCTCACCTTATTAAAAAGTTTTTGGACAACAAAAGTAATCACCAACAGAGTCAAAAGACAACCCAAATGGAGGGAAAAATTTGTAGCCATTTGTCCCTCAGACAAAGGACTTCTATTTAGAACATATAAAGAAATAAAAATAAAGGAAAATATTTAGGCATACTACCATGTAACATAAAAGCACTTCAAAATAAGTAAAAAGGCAAGGCATTATGAAAATTAAATTTAACAATAGAGTAATAAAGACATTAAGCAAAATCAAAGTTAGTAGTGAATTACCTCTAAAATTACTCATGAAAGAGAGCTTTGGCACTATGAAAAGACCACAAGCCTATCTTTCTAGGTCATCATGTTTCATCTTAAATTAGTGCTAATAATAACTCAGATGGTTTTCATTATTAATTATCATTTGACTGATGACCTCATGTTGACTTGACACGAACCTCTTATCATATATCTGGAGCACAAGAGAAAGGCAGATGTCTGAATCGGAGAGAAAAATGTCTGTCACTATAAACAATACCAGTTTTACATTTTAGAAGACTACATTTGGAAGGCATGAATACACTATGAAATTAACAGTAATGAATTGTCATTATTTTGTTTTTTAATTTAGTTTTGTATCAATAGCATCTTTTAATCAAAAAACCTCATTGTCTTATTTTGAAAACTTAGTGTTTTGACAATGGCCAATGCAAATATAACACAATAATATATTTTGAATGATATTTATTGGGGTGTCTCCCATAAAGCTATGGAGATTATCAGGGCTCCTTATTAATGAACAAAAACTGGTTAATGTTATTCTAGGCAGCTGCTTTTCATTCATCAGTTGGTGTCCTGTCTAATAATATCTCCCCACCCTAAGAGATTTCTGTTTAATTATTTTGACAAATTTTTGATAATCCATGAAAACACAACCTCAATACTTAATACATTAAATTTGAACAATAAGAGACTCTCAAATTATGATACATAAACAATAATAAGCATTACATTTATAAAACCAATTTTAACATCACTTTGACCAGCTGGCAACTTTTGTTGGAAGCACATCTTTAATTTAGATGATGTTTATCTCTAAGCCAAATTAAATTTTAGGCAATTGTTTCAAAATTAGAAAAAAATAGAAAAAGAGGAAACATTTGTTGAGCTCAAATAAAACAGCTGTTTACAGATTGGACAGAGACAGACAAACAAAAAACTCACAAGATAATTTGCTTATAAAATCAGAGTGCACTTAAATATATTTCGGCCACATTGAATCATAGACCCATGATCCAGTCAATCTGAAACTTCCTCTGATTCCATCATAAACACTTTCTTTTTCTCTCTTTTCTAGCAGCTTTGAACATTCCTGTTTGTAATGTTCCTTTTCCTCGTGATAGGTACACTGGTCTGGATCTAGGGGAGTGTGACGACCTCCCCCCTGTTTGTCTCTTTTCCTAGCTTTTGACTGGGCCTCCTTCTTGTAAGCTGCCAACATTATCTTTCTCTTTTCCTGCTTAAATCTCCACTCTGCATCCTCACTGCCATGAAATAATTTTTGGGCAACCTCTACCAGCTGGAACAAGTTCATCTCTGCAGTACCCTCTCGAATTTCTGCAGCTTACCATGGATATCAAGGGCCGACACTTATGCCACCTTATGTAGGTGAGTGGGGTGATGAGCTGCAGAAAGAAGCCTTTTCCTCAAAGCCTGATGATTTTTTTGAAAGCATTTAACCCCTCCTCAATGGTGTACTTCCAGATGGGGTTTCTTTGTCCTGTGTAGTTTTTCCCATATCTAATCTCATTTGTTTCTCAGCCACCTTTAAATCCTTTCCCTCCCCTCCAAAGAAAACAAAGTTAACATTATCTGTTGATGATCATCCCAGGTGGGGCAGTGAGTCTTAAGTACTAATTCCAGCAAAGTAATTAAAGCCTGAGTTTGCTCTGAAAATGGGAATTTTGAGTTCTCCAATTGTAGAATGAGGGTTTCTTCCTGGCCCCATCATAGAGCCTGCTCGAGAGGCAAGACTGGGATCTAGATAGGGTGGTGGCTGAGTTGGGAGAAAAAAGAGAGGATCATCTTCCTCAGGCACTGAAGGCAAAACGGGGGGTTTCTGCTTAGGAGACCTTTCCTTAATTACCAGAACTTGATCCAGGAATCCACAAACACAGAATACCTTTAATATCCTTAATCATGCATAAACCAGAATGGTGGACTTACTGTCTGCTGAGCTCATAACAACTCAAGTTTAGAACAAAGAGAGAACAGTTTACCTCAGCTGTGTTTCTTCCCTCACTCAGCCAAAAATCCAAACAAGAGCTTGAGGCTGCGGTGACCTGAAATCAAGGGTGCATTTGGGAGAAAAACACAGAGCAGACAAACAGAGCAAAATAATCCTGGGAATCATCAATCTCCTCTGACCATCAGTTTGAAAAAAAGTTTAGAGTCCAGAACTGACCAAATCCAAAACAAACCTCAGAGACAAACTCTGAACCAAACCAAGACAAACTCAGACCAAACTGCACAAACTTATAGAGAACTCTGCACAAATTCAGAGACAAAGCTCTGAACAAACTCAGCTACGCTGAGACCAAATGGTTGTCACGTCTTGGAGCCTGGGCACATCAAATTGTCAGTCCGGAAAGAAAAAGATAATTACAATTTAAAATCTTACCTAGGTCAGAGAGCTGAACTTTTGTTGTTCCATTTTGCAACCTTCGTGTCCCTGAATGCAGTCATCCCCAGATGGCCAGCTGAAGTCAGCCAGGCACCCAGCCATCCAAAGAGTAGCTGGTAAAGTTGGAAGGAACAGGGCCTCTTCAAATGAGGGTCTTTTTCTTGTGAAGCCAATCTTGCACTCAAGGCCTCCAGCTGATACACCAAGTGAGCTAAATGACTTGGGCACTCACAAAAGAACTGAAAATGCAGGAACAAACAAAGTTGATTGAGCCAGCTGATGGACAGTCTCTAACAAGGAGCCAGAGAAGATGTCTGCCCCGATCCGAATCTCACTTTAGGTTTAAGTACATTTTTAGGTTTCCATAGTAACCATTACCTCATTTTTGGAATCTTACAAGAATGTCACACAATTATCACAAAGTTTACCTCTCCCAGAAGCTTTTGGACAGTCAAATTCCAGATGACCATTGCAGTTTAACTTTTAGCCTACTTCCCAACTTGTCCTGTTTGTTCCATTCCCATTTTGTGACTCTGCTCTTCTTTAACTGCATTGATAACTAACCAAGGGGACTGAGGTGAAGAATGGGGTCAACTATAGCTAAAGTGAACTTAAGTAACTTCTCTTAATATGGTGTTTGAAAAGAAAATGGAGTCTTTCTTGCCTATCATAACTACTAGTAAGACAACAATACACAGTGTATTATTGTAGCTCTTCTACTAACCTGTTTTGAAACTGTTTTACTGTTTTTTTTTTTTAATTTTAGAGATAAAGGGAGGGAAACATTAACAGACATACAACATTTTACAACATATCACAAGCACAGTACAGACAATACAGAGTTACAAACAAAGTGGTAGGGAATTAACAATGCTTGTTGTATTACATATTGATATCTTCAAAGTGGCTTCTCATGAAAACAGATATAGACATGCATACTGGTCAACCAAAGACTCACTGACAGTGAAACTGTTTTATTGTTATTTTAATATTTTCTCTTTAAACTAAAAAAAGAAAAAAGAGATACATTTAAAAAAAGAAAGAGAAGGACAAAAAGTAAAGGCAAAGGAAAAATTCTCTTTCCTTCAATAAACTAATGTAGAAGAAAGAGGAAAGAAAAAAGAGAAAAAGAATTTCCTTATATTTTTGAATGAGTGGTTTTCTTCCAGGATCTGGCAGTTTTGCAATCCAGCAAGTCACTGTTTTCTCTTCCTATCTTTATGGACTGTGGTTTGTGGAGTCCCACCCCTGCTCCAGAAGCTTCTTTGTTTACTTCAAGCTGTGGCAGTGTCTTTGCTCACACTGGTAGATAGGGAAGGCAATCAGACCTGAGATCTGGGCTGGACGTACACAGCAAGCCAAGGGTTCCAGTACTTAATGCTGGCACTTTCAGATCCAGACATTTCTCAGCACAGCTCCAGCCAGGCAGGGCTTCTCACCACAGGGGGCAGGGCTTCTGTCCTTCCTGGCCTGAGCTCATACTTCTTAGGGTTCACTTTCTAGATGGTTTCCTGTCCAGAACTGTCCCCCATAGGCATTTCTCACCCAATCCTTCTAGGGGGGTGGCATTGGTAACTGCAAAGGGAAGTTATATTTTCATTTTTCTGAGCCCCAGATTTAAATAACCAACACCTTCCTGAAGTGGCCCCTAATAGTTCTTTCTGGTGATATGGAGGGAGTTTTGCTGGAATCCTCTGGCTGTTGCTTGCCATGTGTAAGTAGCCCCCTCATAAGAAAACCCTACACTGTTTTTACAGTTAACAATAGCTGTGGGCTCTTCTTGGAGCCCTTGTTGCCATTCCAGTCCATGATTTCTCACCGGTTCTCCTGGTCCTGAGAAGCCAGGTTCCCTTCCCTGTGAGCTGCAAGCCTTGGTGATCCTTCAAACTGCTTTATTTGGTTTGTACTGTAGTCTGCCTCTCCAAATTCTCTGTAGCTTCTAATTTTTTGGTCAGTTCCTTCCTGGTTCCCAGGAATCTACTTTCCTTTTTTCCCTTACCAAGTTGTTATTTGCCAGGATTCTAGATTCTAGATTTCAGATTCTGGATTTCTGAATTTGGCTGCTGATTACCACTCTACCATTTTCTCCTCCTCAATTTTGGCAGTATCTACTGGTGATATTGTCAAGCTCAGAGGTTCTTTCCTTGGCCATGTTCAGTCTAGCAATAGGCCTCTCAAAACATTCATTTCTGCTGTAGTGTTTTTGATATCTACAATTCCTGTTTCATTTTTCTTAGAGTTTTTGTTTTCATTGCCCATCTGTTCTGGTATGTTTTACACAGTAGAACTTTTACTATGTCAATCACAGTTGCTTTAAATTCCTAATCTGGTCATTTTTAATATTCTTGACCTGAGTCTCACACCTGCTGTGTTTTTTCACTCCATGTTTTTGCCTGTTAGAATGGCTCATAATCTTTTGTGGAAAGCATAATATGATATAGTGGGTAAATGGAATTCCAATAAGACTGCTTTTCATGATGTGGTGGGAAGGTGTACAGAGACGGTAAGCATTCTGTAGCCCTGGGATTGGGTGTATTAGTGAGCCTGAGCACCTAAGCTAACCTTCACTAGTGCCTCTCAGTCTCACATTCTATGCTTTAGGTGGGACAGGATGGCTAGAGTGCGCATGAATTAGATATTTCTCCCAGGTTGCTTAGGGCTTGGTAAAATTCAGATAAACTAAGCATTGGCAAAGTAGCTTCTCTTAGGACAGGCTTTGTTAAACAAAACAAAATGCTCTCGTTTATTTCAAATGGTAGACTTTCCCCTACCCCTGCTAAAAACATCAGATACTTTTCCTCTGATATTCTCTGTGTGAACTCACTTGAGTCTCTGAACTCAAACAGAAGTTTGAGAGCCCGTCCCTCCAAATTTTAACATTTGGAGAAGTATGGGGAGCCCTTCCCTGTAGTTTTTAATTCTCAGATGTTACATGATAAATTCTCGGAGGTCACACTGGCTCCAGGAATTTTTAAATTAGATTGTTGTACCCTGACCCTGGTTTCTGGTTTTGGATTTTTGCTCAGGTAATTTTTTTTAATCTCTGTATTACCTCTCTTTCTCCCATTTGGGGACAGTGATTTACCATGGAGCCTTCTGAGAAGTCTAAGAAAAATTGTGGATTTTCATTTCAACTTTTTACTTAAAATGGAGAAATGACTGATTAATCTGGTGGAGGAAATTTCAAGGTAGCCAAAAGTTCAAGCTGTGGTTTGGGTACTGTTGGGGGCTTTTAACCAGATATATATTGTGCATCGGGAGCAAAGAGCTCAGCAGAATGATTTAAAAATTTTGAGTTTGGCCTGAAAGGAAGCTCTGATAAAGTTAGATCCTGAAAAGATGGAGCAGAGGAGAACTTGGTTGTTTAAAATATTAGCATTAAAAAGCTAAATACTTTGGAATAGGACAACAGGAAGAAAATACTTTGAGGAATTATAAAGAAAGAAGGGCCTGCTTTTTGCAGTCTCAACATAGCAAAGGTGAAAGACTTGAGAAGAGAGCATGGTGATCTTCAGGTTTCAACTCCCAAATAAAATTTATCAGAAACTTGTAATCCCAAACCAACCTGGACCAGGGCACCATGGTCCAGCATGGCAGCAGTGTATGGAATGGAAATTGATTTCCTGGGACTTAGTTCACCATGACCAGCCATCCAGACACTCAGAGGCCTCTGCAAACACTGGCAAGATGCAAAAGAGTTCAGCTACTCTTCCAGGTGGTATTGGACTTTGATGTTGTCCACATGGTATGGTTTTAGGTGCCTGCAAAATGCAAGAGTTGTGCATTCAGAAAGGCTTCCACCCAGATTTCAGAAGAAGGCCAGAAAGTCCAGGCCATGTGCCTGTTAGAGGGAAGTACATGATGCTGTGGGTATGAAGCCAAAGCAGTGGAGAGCCCAGGATATTGGAAAAACCAAGGAAGTGAATCACTCGAGGAAAGCTGGAAGAAGTGAAAAAGTCTGACCCCAGAGTGAGGCCATGAGGAGACTCTGGACTTGGACTTTTCAGCAACTGCAGTGCTGAAACTCCTAGGACTTTGGCAACTCCTAGAGGTGGACTAAATGCATTCTACACATGAGTCTTTTTAGGGCCAGAGGCAGAAATTTGTATCAAGATGTCCCCTCCTGCACCCATGGGGGAGGTGACTGGATCATGGATATGTGTTCCTAATCCATGGGTGAGTTCAACAATGGGTTTGTAATAAGATGTGATGTTGGGAAGTAAAGCCTGATTGCAGAAGGTGGGCCACTGAGAGTGTGGCCTAGAACAATCTATCTCCTACCCTCCTCCCTTGATTGCTTTCTCCTTTTGGCTGCCATATGGTGAGATTTTCCCTCTCTGCTGTGCCCTCTGCCATCCTATCCTGCCTTAGAGTGAGCCAACTATGTACTGAAACCTCTATAATCTGAGCCAAAATAAATCTTTCCTCTAGTATGTGGATATCAGGTATTTGTATTAGCTAGGCAAAAATAATTAAGACAGACTAATTTAATATATAAACACTGTAACCTATGAGAAATATTTTTGTAACAAATAACCAAGTCTCAGCCAATCACAGCAGCTCAGCCTTCAGCCAATCACAAGCTACGAACCGCCAAAATGTACCCAAGTAATGCAAATACTTAGCTATGATCAATGAAGCTAATTCTATATGCAAATTCTGTTTTGGTTTATAAATGCTCTAGACTATATTGCTGGATAGAACTCATGTATGCTGACCAATTTATTGTTTCTTTGTGCAAGTAAACTTTTAAGTTTAATTTTTCTAAATTACCTTTTAATAGGATATATGAGGACAACCTGTCTCTTCCTCTACTCCACAGCTAAGCACCTCCTTCCACTTCATGGACAGAGGACTGCTGCTGATCTTCCTGACACTTTATTTTAAAGAGAATTTAAAAGAGAAAAAAAAAAAGAATTTAAAAGAGAGAACAATAGCAAAGTGCCAACAACATATACAAACACAAAACCAAGCAAAAACAATAAGAATGATACAGTGTCTCAGAACAAAATGATAGGGATTAACAGTGGTTGTTATATTACACATTTTTATCTTCATTGAAGTTGGTCAGATTACCAGATGTAAGAGTGCAAGATTAATCAAACCATTAAAGAGAACAAAAATAAAAACAAAAAATTATAAATGATACAGAGTTTCACCAAACAAGATGATAGGAATTCAACAATGGTTGTTATATTGCATATTGTTGTCTGCAAATTAGTTGTTCAGATTACCAGATATAAGCATGCAAAATTGGCCTGACACTTTTTTTGAGATGTGGTATTATTATTTAGTTCAGACTGGCCTTGAACTTATTGTGTAGCCCAGGCTAGCCTAGAACTTGTGGCAATCTTTCTGCCTCAGCCTCCCGAGTGCTGAGATTATACACATGTACCACCCTGGTTAGCTTCCTGACACTTCTACGTGGAGAATGCATTCATTCTACTTAAAAATATTCTAGTGGTTATAAAACATTTCTTTTCCCTGTATTTGTTTTTAATTGTACCCCAAAATGAAACCAAATTCAAAGAGAAGCAGGTGAGGGACACAAAGTGTTGACGTTCCCTGGAGGACCAGAGGGAACCCCAGGATTTCCCTGTAGATATTCAGGATAGCGGAGGTCACTACACTGGGAAATCCACAGACATGCTGGCTTTGGGCTCATCCTCCCAGATCGGTGGACTGCAGACTAGAGAGGTCCCTGAACTCAGAGTGTGGGTGCTTTTGGGGCACTTCCTTCAGAGCAGACTTAAAGCAACAGAGAGAGTCTTCTGGGATGGGGAGCTAGGGGTAATGCAAACCAAAATATTGTAATCTGGGGACTGGAGAGGTAAAGTGAGACCAGTAGTCTCCAATGTCTCAGCACCAAGATCTGGGAATGATGGCTCTGCTCCCATACTATGAGTCTTCTGTTTGCTCTCCTTCTCTGTTTCCAAGAAGTAGAAGAATCCTTGATAACATCGAGTTCAAACTTTCCATTCACACACACAAAGGGAAAGTGAGGCTTAATTGAGGAAGGGACAGGTTCAGGATAAGAGGATAGCATACCCAATCTTCCTATCACCTAGCAACCATTTTCATGGCAATGCAGTAGAGATGATGCTGAGAACAAGAACTCTCAAGGTAAATAAATGAAGGGAAAGAAAAATAAGGAGATGGAGACAGTGGAGATTCTGATCAGGGAATCTGGGGTGGAGGGGAGAGGAAAGTCCTTTCCTTATGCAGCGTGGAGGGCTTTGCCTCTGCATCCCCAAAACTCACTCCAGTCTGCCCCGCCTTCAGCAGCCAGGCGGCCAGCACAGGCAACTGCTTGCAAGGCTGTCCTGCAGAACCTTGCCTCCTTGCGTCCCCTCCACTCCTGTTCCTCTGTCCAGCTCTTAAGAGGGATCAAAAATGGGAACATAAAGAGCCTTTCCTGCCATGCATAAGCAGATATGTGTACGTGTATGTGTGTGCACATGTGTGGGCTCTGCTGGAGAGAGACTTCATTCAGTGCTCTCTGTGATCACTGAGACTGCTGAGGGAGGCTGAGCTACACGGGAGCTTGTGTTTGTTGTTATCTTGGGAACGTGGCAATGCTTTCCTGATTAGAGCTCACAATGCAATTCGTGGCTCTTCTGCAACTGCTGAAAGGGTATTTTTAGGGCCTTGTGTCCTGTGTGCTCCCTCTGGGATTGCTGGTGTTGAACATTACCACAGACCAGGTACACACTCAGAAAAAAATGAACGTCTAGGTCAAGAAGCCAGATTGGGCTGCTGGCAGAGTTAACATGCAGGCTGGGTTCTTGCTGCTCTCCTGGTGTATCCCGCCCTGCCTAGTGTCAGCAGGTCCCCACAGGAGACTTCAGTGTCCCTCAGAGTGCTGCAACTATGACCAGAATGTGGGTTCTCTGGTGTTGGGAGGTATTAGCACTGGCTGTGAGTTGTTCAGGATGTTAACCCTGTAAGCTACTAACACGCTAAAGCATATGACTCCAATAGGAGTTCTTGAGTCCTCTTGTGATGCCTGCATCTCCCAGTGAAACCTCTCAGATGCTACAAGATATGGCAGACTGATTTTGCATCACGCTCCACCCTTCTCAGATTAGCTGGGGAGCTGAAGTATGGTAAACAGAGTTGGGCAAGGCTGGATTAAACATTAATGCAGCTGTCACCACTACCCAAGGGAGAAAGCTCCAGACACAGCCACATGGTTTAGTCAGGCTGAGGAGTGGTGACCAGTGGTCATGGCTCAGTTTGGCCAGGTTTTGACTGAAATAGGTGACTTTGGTCGCTTTCAGGTACAGTTATTGATCCTGGTGACTGTCCCTAACTTTCTATTTTCCTTCTATGTGTTGGGCCAGGTTTTCACAGTCCTGGATGAGG